GTACTGAGTGGGCGCCTGTCGCCAATTTGCTGTTTCGCTGTTTGCATACATGACAAGTTGAATAATCGTAAGTGTGATTTCACTAATCGGTTTTCGTTTTTCATTTTCTACAAATCATAAATGAACTTTAATGAAGTAAAATCAAAAAAAAAAAAAAGGGGCTGTAGGGCTTTCAAAACCCTGCAACCCCACATATATATATATATATATATATATTTTTTCACTTATTTTTTGACCCCCGAAAAAAAATCCAAAAAATTGGGCCGCAAACTAGGCCTGGCGGCCGCGGCTGCGGCCGAATTGCCCGTGGGTGTCACATAGGCGAGGGCTCCTCCCCCCCCGAAGGACCCATGCCTCACTCTGTCTATCCTCGGTAATAAACTGTCTCCCACCTAGTAGCAGATTCCGGCAGCTTGGTTCTTCCTATAGGGATCGGAAGGGACAGACTACAGACTCAGTAGGTGGTGGGCCATCATCCGTTCTTCCACTAGCCCCCAACCTTTGTCCCTCTGATGTGCCTATCGTGGTTGTACCTGTAGTCAGTATCTGGGGTAGTGTCTCTCATGTGTGTGTGTAATATGTGGTAGAGACAAGCCTATCTGGACAGGACCCCCCCAAAGTCCGGATCCGGACTCGAAGTTGTGACCTACAGTATGAGACTGGAGGGTTCTACCACATGCACTACCGTAGGAACTGGATATAATGTGTGAAATATGTAGGCTGGGGGAGATCATCAGAGCAACCAAAGCCAACAACAGCAAGCAACCAACGTGAAGTCTAGACCAGTATACAACACCCATGGACTAACCCCCTGGGTGGTGCGCAGGCAGTGTCTGTAATAGTACCATGCGTCAGCCCAGGGTGTGTGTCCAGCCGTGCGTCATTCTAAAAGGCTGCGGAGTTTTGAACCCGCAACCTTATACCACAATGCGCATTTCCAACAGGTAAGTTGTTACGGACTTCGCCAGGGCTCGATCCCTGGTCTATCTTTTGCTGTTTCGGCTGCATCCCGTTTTCGGCCGGGCACCCTTTTTCCAAACCCCTCCTTTTGGTACCGTAGGATTTTGGACAACTGGCGCCATGCTGCAATTCGGGCGCCACTTTCAAACACTGCATTTTTCAGTTCTGCCCTCGGGGCCTTTGCAGAAATGCCCCTGGTACCGTACGTGTCACCGGTACTTATACCGGCTCCCCGTACGGTACGGGGACCAGTCTCGTACCAGTTCTCTGCTGCTGTACTTGTACTCAGTGTGACTTGCCGTTTCGGCATTGGGAATCCAAGACTTCGACTTTGTGCCTTGCCTGTGTGTCTGCGTCCAACCCTCAGTCCGAGTCCGTCGTGTCGAGTGAGTGAGTGTGTGTGTGTGCTCTCACTCTCTCCCTCTCTCTCTCCTCTCCCTCGGCTCACCCTCAGCCTCACTCCCGTTACATAAGTGCCAGGCCTGAGGGCCTTTCCAGCATACAAGTACCCTGGTGGGTCCCACACACACCCGAGCAATCATGCAGTTAGACAAACACACAGAAACTCAGCAATCATGCACACACACGTACTTAGAAATCTCAGCAAGTCACACAATCCAGCGGTAAAGCTCAGAAAACAGCAGAGTTCTCAGTCTGTGATTTTTTTTTGCAGGTCATTACAGGTTTGTTTTCTGCGAATTCCAAGTCTGAGTCTATTCTGCTGTCATTTGCTGTGTTCTGTGTGTGTGTGTGTGTGTGTGTGTGTGTGTCTGTGACCTGCCACTAACGGGCATGTGCCTTGTACTTGCCTGAGTCCAAGTCTGCGTCCTTGTGCTAACACTGTTTTCCATGCTGTGTTTCTGTGCCTCGAGAGATGGGGTAGAATGGTAATAGGCAAAGACACAGGGACATACTTGAATTTGGCAACAGAAGGACTTGATAGAAACTCTGAATGGCCAGGGGAAGTTGCAGAATTTGCTAGGAACCTGTAGGCCTTTTTCAGCAATGCGGGTAGGCCCAGGTAGGCCCAGTAAGCTCCAGGGAAAATTCAAAATTCCAGTAGCTTACAAAAGTTACAAAGGTGTCCTTCGGTAGCTCGAGCACCGGTTGGAAATGCGCATTGTGGTATGAGTTTGCGGGTTCAAAACTCCGCAGCCATGCGCATGGACACCGGCAGGGCGTTCGAATGACACACGGCTGGACACACACTCCCCTGGGCTGACGCATGGTACTATTACAGACACTGCCTGCGCACCACCCGGGAGTCAGTCCATGGGTGTTGTATGCTGGCCTAGACTTCACGTTGGTTGCTGGTTGTTGTTGGCTTTGGTCGGTCTGATGATCTCCCCCAGCCCAGACATTACACACATTATATCCACTTCCCACGGAAGTACATGTGGTACAACCCTCCAGTTTCATACTGTAGGTCACAGGTTCGAGTCCGGTTCCGGACTTTGGGGGGAGTCCTGTCCAGATAGGCCTGTCTCTACCATATACAATCACACACAGAGATACCACCCCAGATAGCACAACCAAGATGCATAGTCTATCACATACCATACACACATACTATACACACACACGCATGTACTAGTGGAAGTGATAAGAGCGCCTCTCATGAGTACTCAGTACTCACCTCGCAGATGCTCTATGAAATCGGGTCCACATACACATTACGAACATACACATAGCCCAAGGGCACACATCTAAAGATATAGAGTACATACACACATTCACAACCAAGGGCTGGGAGGAGGTCACGATCAACTGATAATGATGATAGGTGTTCGATGATAAGTATCCCCCTTAATATCAGCTAGGCCTGTGGTGGGTGAGTAGAGGGCGTGAGTCGCTGGTTGGTCTGGATCAACTAATGACGATGATAGGCGTCTCGATGGTAAGTACCCCCCTTAAAATCAGCTAGACTGTGTGTGGCAGACTAGGGCTGTGGTGAGCGAGTAGAGGGCGTGAGTCACTGGTTGGTCTGGATTAACTGGTGATGATGATAGGCGTTACGAGGATTACCCCTAAAAATCAGCTAGGACTGCGGTGGGTGAGTAGAGGGCGTGAGTTACCAGTTGGTCAACGTAGGGGCTAGTAGGAGATTTCTTGGGCCTGGCGTCCGAAGTTCCCATGCAACGAGGCTCGTTCGATTCCGCTTCAACCAAGGCTGGGTCACGGCTAGCCCTGGTGCCTGTCACTGCTGTTCGGTCCAAGTTCCCCTCGATAGAGCGTAATGGTCCTGAGTGCTGTCACACTGAGGTAGGATGGTAAGAGATAGGGGGTGCGCTAAGAGGATTGACGTGAGGATGGGATGGGCATGTAGCCTCGTTCCCTCAGGATGACCATGGCTGACCGCTCCTGGCGATCAATGTGTGCCTAGTAACCGGCCTCTACAACACCCTGGGTAGCCTTAAAAAAACAAAAAAAAAAACAAAGGTGTCCTTCGGGACATCTGTTAAAATTGGAATGATACAGAGAAGGGTAATTAGCATGGGCCCTGCGCAAGGATGACACGCATAAATCGAGAAATGGTCCAAAAAAAAAAAAAAAGTTACAAAGGTCCACGGCCTGTATATAGACAGGTACGTGGCTAGATTCCGGCCCGGCAGTTAGGTGCAGGCTGCAATAATGTCCGCACGAAAAGGCAGGAGCTTCCCACAGGTCCACGGCACCAAGGGAGGCCTACCTACACGGTCCTTCAGTAAAATTCTGCCAAAAGTCGTTTTTCGCTTTATTCTTCAAGTGAGCATTGTGGTGCTCTGCTTCAGAAGGGGAAGCTGGCGGAAGCACATGGAGAACGTGGAGCTGGCGGAGCACTTGGAGAAGGTGGAGCTGGAAGGTGATGGTGAAGATATCCATGGCTATGAAGAAATGGTAGGGACGAGGTAGAGGTTAGGCCTAGGCTTTGGAGGTGAGGGTGATGGACCTCTAGCCAGGCTATGGAAGAGCCGCAGGGTAGAAAGAGGAGCAAGGAAGTGGGAACCAGAAAGGAGACTCAACTTTGGCTATGGTGGACTTGCATCTTCATTTCCAAGGTTGGTGCTGCATCTGGAAGGCCCCTGAAGGGGGTTGTGTTGTGCTTTGAACATCCGGGCTAGGTTAGGACAGAGCTGCCATAGCCGGATGGCACACAAGGAGAGACATGGGTGTAGGAGGTCACGGAAGGCTGTTTATGTGCTGGAAGTGAGGAGTAGTAATCACTGATCAGACATTTGATTAGTTTGTGTACCGACCCCATGAGCTCATCCATGATGGCCCCCAGAGCTTTGTACCTAGAGGGCCCCTACTTCCGCTACCTCAGGCTGTGTTTAAGACCACTAGTACACGGCTGCAGAGCCTAGCAGTCCGAAACTTGTCGCCACGAGAAAACGAGGCCGAAACGTCAAATGCTGGGCCCACCGTTGATAACTTTTTTGGAGAAGCGGTCAAGTTTTCGTTTCGTGCTTCCAGCATTCGAGGTGCTAGGCCCACGGCCCAGGTGCCCATATACTGGTGCTTTAATGGCAAGGTCTAACCTATAACAGCCCAGGGTCTACCCTCAGTACGCCCACCCCAGCGCAGTCCTTGGGATCTATGTCCCTTGTGATCGATGTACATAGTCTGTATGTGACCTGTATATATTATATGTATGCTCTGCCTGTCTCTAGTGTGCGGGCCACAGATTTAATTTGGTCTGTCTCATGTGGTCTGTGCAGTAGTCTACATGCAATTCGGCCTGCCGACAGATTTAATCTGGAACTGTCTGTGGCCTGTGATCTCCCTATGCAGTCTGTAAGTCTACAGACCATATAGGCTGCAGGCAGGTGTAGTAAAAAATAAATTTTAAATAAATAAATAAATAAATAAATAAATAATAGATTTCAACTTCCCATTTTCAAGTTCCTTCTCCATCTGTGTACGACGAGCCTCGCCAATGGCGGTCTTCAGCTTCTCATTTTCCTGCTCCTTCTCCTTACGGGCATTGAAATCGGAAATCTGAAGATCCTTCAGAGCCTCAACTTCAAGATTATGACGATGTACCATCCGACATAGTCATGAGCAGTCCGGGAATAGGTTCTGGCAGCAGTAGTGGGAGTAACAGCAGCACAACTCCGCTTGTTGCCCGACCGAAGCGTCTCGTTCTTCCACAACTCGACCTCCTACAAGGCCTCGTCCCTCATGGTATACATGAGAGCCATTTCTGACTCCAAACTCTCCAAGCGCCGTTGTGAAGCGGCAGATTCTTCAACCTTCTTCTTCAGAGCATCTTGTTCCCTCAGCAGTTGCCTAACTACCACGCCACCTTCAGCAGTAGCCTTGGCAGTGGATGGAGAACAAGCAGAGGAGTCTACAATAGTCTTGAGCCGTGCGATTTCACTACGAAGACTGTCAATCTCACTAACCCCTTTCATTGCATTGTTACTAGAATTCATCTTCTCACACATCTTCTCCCACTTCATATTCATATCTTCCATCATCTTGCGATGCATATCCTCCCGTTCCTTGCGATCATGTTCACGACGTTCAAGTTCCTCGGCCTCCCTCTTCTTACGAGCTTCTTCTTCCTTCGATGCCTTTTCTCGTTCAACATCAGCGTCATAGAGGAGCTTGATCTCAGCAACGGTATTCTCCAGAAGAATCAGCTGCTGCTTGGCTTCGTACCAACAGTTGTTCCTAAACTGACTGGTAGTAAGAGCATTAGAAGCAGTAGCAGTCGAGGTGGACGGAAGAGTGAGTAGGGGCTGTGGAACAATAGCGTTACTACGTCCGTTCCCATTGACAGGATGCGGACACCATCTAGCGAAATGGCCAGGATCGCCACAATTGTAGCAGGTCCGAACGATAGAAGAAGACGCCGGAAAGTTGGAAGCCAAGAGACGAAGCCACACAATCGTAGTGTAATCCCTACGTATGTTACTCCGGGTAAACAAGTGAGTTGCAGCAAAAGGCAAACCAGTAACCACGTCAAAATCAAGAGTCAACAAAGGAAGAAGAGGAAGCACCATCTCCCTCTCACCCTCTCGTTACCTGACTTCACTGCATCAGCAGACTATGAGAGAGCGGGCTTGGTGACATTTGGATCCAGATTCGACATTGGGCTCCAGACATTTTGACGGGGGATTATTTGGGACTTGTAACATAGACTTGGTGTTGACGACATTCCCATCTCTCCCCCTCTTCTTCGTCTGTTCCCCTCCTCTTCATCTGTGCATGATCTGAACCTGGCGCATTCTTCCTGTGTATAGCGCCAGGACCCTTCACACCTTGTGATGAGGATGATGTATGTTTGGTCTGTGTTGCAACATTGGTTGGGCTAGTCATTGGTATTCTAGCATTCTGCTGCGATATCTTGCACTGCGTGATAGAGGTCAGTCCCGGTCAGGTCAGGACTTGTATCTAGGTCTTCCCCTGCGCTATAAAGCACCATGTTTGTATGTATCAGGATGTACACTGCTTATTGAGATTTCACTTGCACTGCATTGTCCATTCAGTCCTTTTCATCACATTGCGGATCCTCGGTTTTATATGTACATCGCCCAACTGGGCATGTAACACGGGTAATGGCTCCGGTACCTCAAGGATTTTCCCATAAATTTCTCAAATTATTTCTCAATATGATCTTGAATGGTACGCTGGGCCCGGTTCCCAGCACGTG